CAATACATAATATTAGAATAAACCCTTCTGCCAACCAGTCACAAACTGCGAAGCCACGAACACAGCACCCGGAGACGACAACCCACACAGATAGGAACTCAGGCTCCAGAGACGGCTAACTCGGCTAGCTGAAACCACACCACAGACAAAATTCTCTACCCAAGTGGACCACTCCAGACCAGCGACCGGAGGCCAGCTCTTCCTCATCCCACACATCGACTAAGGACTGCGGGCACAAAACCAACCCGACAACTTGCACAACCAGCAGCCATACCTCAACCTACAACCCGCAGTCCGCAGCCGGCCCGACTCCCACGCAACAGGTAAGAACGAAAAAAGATAGAAAAGGGAAACTTTATCTCGGCCCCAACCAACTCCTTTGAGACGATTGGAGCCAGCCACTCGAGCCCATCTCAGCACCGCCGAAAACTTGCATAGACATAGTCAACCGACGAAAGTTGTGAAGCACTACACCGAAGAGGACAGACGGCACTCCGAGAGACCAGCAGCACGACCCGCTGACGACCGTCGCCATGGCGTCTCAGAGAGCTCGAAAGGGGAGAGGTGCCGACTAATTAGAAGCTAGGGTTTATGTTTTTTGAATTGGGGGAAATTTCATTGCAATATACCTTATTTACTCGAACTTTGTGAATTCTTTTTACCAAGGTTTTTTACCTTATTTACTCGAACTTTGTGAATTCTTTTTACCAAGGTTTTTTAAATTTCATAATTTTCACTTCTAAATTTGATTGCCAATTATAATTTTATATAATATTAATAATTTGATTTTGATTTCCAATTGCATAATTCACGTTCCCTTATATATTAATTTTAAAACCTAAGTGATCGGCTCACAAATTTTGAAATCGTATTTAACAAAAATTCATACTTTGTAACACCCCACTTTGATTTTAAAGAAATCCCGGGCTTTCTAAAAATCAAGTAATAATTTTTCGAGATCATTTTCGAAATCCAATGGGTGTTAAACAATATTTTTCATAACCCAAGTCTTGTCTGGGCCCACGAGGATTCATTACCCGATTTTCACAAGGTTTCCATTAACCCAAATCATATCATATGACAAAATACTCAACATGAATATTCAAACCTCATAGAACCAAACATCATAAATTCAACAATAAGGGTTCATCAAGTATTCCCAACATCAAAACAAATCATAAGTTTTGAAAAAGGTTTTCACAAGCCTCAACATAAAAGGTTCAACAAGACCTAATTTATTCTAACGGAAGTGGAATAAATAAGCATAATCAAAAGACCGACCCACTCGTCTTTCCTTGTCACTCGGTACCTGCTTAACCTGCATCCGTGAAGAGCAGGTGGGGATGAGCACAAGATGAAAATGAGTGCTCACCACTATGCACATATAACACAATAATAAATAATGTAAAGATGGTATGGTCATTGCATGAACATAAATCAATTATTCTGTCACATCTCCATATCACAACACAACATATCGTACTACCCATGTGCACACACCTTTCATTAGCCACGGAAAGGGAATTCATTACCCTAACTCGTGGGGGTACGTGCCACGCTAAGGACACGACCTTTCATTAGGTCTTAGGGAGACTTACCTCGCAAGGGTAACCGTATTAGATCGACTGGGATAACCGTACCGACGGCCGAATCGGCTCACGCGGATAGGCTACATGGTTTACATGCATACATAGATCATACCAACCCAACATTAAAGTAAACACATATGGCATAGCAAATTTTATAAGTAAACCCACCTGGATTTCCGGATTGACAACAACAAGAATAGATAAGACGTAGGTTGAGGCTTAGTTCCTCAAACACCTACAATAATTAAGGTTCTAAGATCAATACCTATCTTGACCTTAGAAGAAATTCACAATTCATACTTGGTCGAACTTGATTCAACCAAGTCGTTCGTGAAGTCCTGTGGATGTTGGAACTCTAGGACTGAGACTCGGACAATTAAACATGAAAGTTCATGTAACTATCACATAATTAGGTTGATCAATATGTTGAATGAGTTAGGTTCTAAAACTTTAATATAAAATTGTAATCTTTAAACTTAATTAAATCACCAAGTTTCAGCTCCAAACCCATTAAACACAATTTTATAAAATTCAAATACGATATCAGCAAAAACGAGCATAAAATTCAAAGCCCGACCTAACGAACGAATTACCACATGAGATTTTTACTGGAGCAAGTTCAGCAAATAAGGATCAACATATAAAAATTCCAGCAATTAAAATTAAATACACAATTTATGAAAATTCATAGAAGATTCACTGTTTACGGAATTTTAATTAAAACTGAACCAATTCGAACTCCAATAATTCCAATATTTTTACAACATGCAAGTACACATAAAATAAGCATCTCAGCCAAAATTCATAATTTTCCAACAATTAACCAATTTACAAAAATTAAAACCGTTTTTAGCAGATTACTAAAATAAATAATTAGCCCTATCAAACTTAACCCAAACTTTCTAAACATTTTACACAACATACAATTCTCATAGAGTCACAGCATATTAAAAATTTAGCAAATTTGTAGTTAAAATCAATTTTATAGGACTTTTCGAATTTTCTGCCCAGAAATTGCTTAAATTTTTAAAAATGGCTAAAGTCCGTAAAAATTATGAAAATTTTACACAAGCTATAACATCAACAGAGGATGATACAACTAAATTTCATAGTATTCCGATCAGTATACGATTTTTAAAAATTAAAACACTATAACAGCGACATACGAGTTCGGTAATTGCACATTTGACTCGAAACACGTAATTCTCGCCTGAGGCCTTCTCTTAAGACCAAGGACTCAGCCTGATTCCAATATCCACAGCAACTTGACACGAGTGTACGAGAATCTCATTCGATTCGCATGAAATCGAAAAGACCCGCTACGTACGATAATCATATAAATTCCAACGAACACATAAAATCATAGGGCGTTTAAATCAATTCATAGAACGTGCCGAAACACATATAATAAACACGTAATGCAACCAATATATACGATATAATGAGACGAGGTCTGACTAGGTACCGTTCTCGGGAAATACTCGAAGAAACGGGACGTAGGACACGAACGGGGACGACGGGACCAAGAGGCTCGAAGGCGATGCTTCGTCTCGCGGAGAAGGGCTCGTCGCTGCAACTAGGTCACGGCGGAGGGTCGTTACAGGGTGCTCGTCGCCGCTGTTGGGGCCTGCTCGCGAATGGAAAGCCGCTGAAATCGCTGCACGTGGTCGGGAGGTGTTGCGACTGTGGGAACTCGTCGAAGGAAGGGTTGCCGGGACAGTACTTGGTCACGCGAACAGCAGGTAACGGTCTCGTCGGGAGTGGTTGCTGGTTCTCGCTGGAAACGGCTCACGGGACTGCTGGACGACGGCTAGCAACTACGCGAACAGCAGCAAGGGTCGAAGGGATGCTGCTGCTCTCCTTGCACGGCCACGAAGGGCTGCTCCTTCCGGACGGATCTCAGTTCTTTCTCGACAATGGCTGGCTCACGGTGAAGACAACGATCACGAGATGCACGGGACCTGGCAGCGATAGTGCCTCATGAACAGCAAGCAACAAACGGAGGATGAGACGCCGATGGTGGACTTGAACTCGCCGGAAAACGCTGGTAGTGATTGGGGCTTGAACGACCCGCGTGAAGTGCAGCGATGGTGGATGTTCGCGGGTAGAGTGTGACGATGGCCTGAAATTCTCGCAAGCAGTAGCTACAGGATGCTTCTCGCAAGCAGGGGAGAATGATAATGGTGCGACGATGATGATGGGAGAGAGATGAGCGATATATTGTTCTCTTTTCTGTTAAGCGTCGATAGAGGGTTAGAGAGAAGTGAGCAGATTAGGGTCTGCATACGATAAGTGAGAGAGATAGGGTTTTGAGCAGAAAAATACACAAAATTTGGGCCAAGATTAATACATTTTGGGCTGAAAGTTTCCTCGCAAGGTGGGCCGAAATTACGAGCTTAAAGGTCGAATACAAAAGCTAGACGACCACAATAAAAAGAAGGGACGATGGGGCGGGTTCAGGCCGGGGATTCACCTCTCGGTTTAACACTGAGGTTCGAGGAAATAGTCGACGATTAAGAATAAAAGCTCGGTTCGATCGCACGACGTTCAGAATAATTAAAGAAAATATACCGACTACGAATATATATATATATATATATATATATATATTACACACAATAATTATTTAATAATATTAATAATCATTTAAACAATTAGACATTTAATATTAATCATAATAATAATAATATTAATAATGATAGCAATTAGGCATTTAAGCAATTAATAATATTTAGACAATCAATAACAATAAGGCAATTAACAACAATTAAA